TTTTCTTGTTCGAGGACTCACCTTGTACCTGGGCACTCAGCTTCTCCAGGTCCTGCTCTGTCATGTGGGAAAATCTGCAGTTGGACCCAAAATCACACTGTCCTGGAACAAAAGTCATGAAGGTCCGTGAGAGCTGCACACACAAGGTCCTCCCTTGGAAAGGTGTGTGCAAATCAAAACCCATTACACCTGCATGTGGGACACACAGGCCCAAGCCCTTCACTCCCTCCAAGGCAAACAGAGATAGCAGGGCTCTCCAGAACAGCCTTGGGCTGGCTCACAAAGGAGCTGCCAGAGCTCAGGCTGTTCTTTCTACCTCAGAAGAACTCACCTGTTTGCAGAAACTTCCGACACGGTTTCTTGGTTTGCTCCTCTTGCAGGATAGCAGCAGCATCTGGGGGAGACAAAGGATAAAACAGGGTAAAAACCTCTGGCACAGCAAATATCCCCTTGGATCCTGGTCCCAAATAGGTCACTTGCCTACTGGGAAGCCATTTGATGTGACAACCATGAACTTAAACCACAGACAAATTGACAGTTATCAGTCCCTGGTTGTACTCCTGGTTTCAGCTTTTCACTGGCTTGCAAATATCACCTTGGCTTTCTGCTTCATGCTTTTCTCCCCATGCCAGTAGGGAAAAGAAGCTTGACAGAAAAGCAAGGACTCTGCAGCACTTCTGTGCAGCAGAGAATGACCAGGCAGAGTCCCAGAGCTCTCAGAAAAGCTCTACGTGAGGCCTTGCAGAACCCTGTGCTGAGTCCCCAGTGGACACCACTTAAATAGTCCTTCACCTCCTGGAGATATCCTGAGGAAAGTGTTCCCAAAGGTGGAACAGCTCCCATAGGTTGTGGAAGAAATTGCACTGGCTGATGCCAGGCCACAGAGTCTGCAGACAAGAGGAGATGAAGCCTCTAATCAGGGATGAGATGAGGAATGTTATCCATCAGAGGGAAATCAAGGGTTGCAGCCTTGAAAAGTGCTGGGTAATTTGCCTCACCATCACTGACCCAGCTAGAACTGTGCTGGGGCTGTTGGTCCTTCACACCTGAGAGCCTTTCCAACTCCCACATACAGTTAAGCAGACAGCAGAGCCACCCAGAGCTCCACAGGGTGTTCCTCACCTAGCTAGCCAGGAGACAAACACAGCTAGCCAGGTTCCTCCTGATTCTGAGGACCCAGAAGGAAGCAGAGGAACATACAGGCAATGGTTTCACAATCAGTTTAACCCAAATGAAGTCTTTGCTACTGCCAAAATACACAGTCCTGCTCTCTCTCCCAGACCCTGGACACACATTCCCACCATCTTCCTCGTGTAACTGCGTGATGAGCCAGGTCAGAGTGCCCAGCTAGGGGAGAAGAGTCCTGGAAACAGGCAGAGGACACAGGGTTTTCCTCCAGCACATCCTGACACAGCCTGCAGCCCTACAACTCCAACTCCTCCTCTGCCAAAGCATCAGGGCACCCAGCCCCCCTCCTGCCCTGCTCACCCTCCTGGCTAAGGTGGGTTTGAGCACACCAGTGCTCTGAGCTGCTTCCCCAACACTCTCACCCTTCTGGGATCCCCAGTCAAGTGGTGGCATCCTCGGCCTGTCCCACAGCCACCCTCAGAACTGCCACCTCCACCCTGTGCAGAGAACTGCCGCCAACTTCCCACTTTTCCACACACACGTGTACAGCCCACCCTCCCACCTGCCTTCCCCACCTACACACACACCCCCCCATATTCCTCCCTCCTCCCATATCAGACATCAACTCTGATGTGCACAAGGCACCTCACTCACCTTCAGAAACTCTAACTCACTTTATTCTCTCAAGTCTTCTTCTCAAATTTACCCCTGATGCCAAGAGAGATTAATCTGCAACTCCTGTTCTCAGAACCAACCTCCCTATCTCTTCCACCTCATTCCAAGTCCCAGCTGACGTTTAGTTTCCCCTTCCCACATCCAGACACATGAGGGTTTTGCCTCTAAGACCGCTTGACAACAACTTACTGGCACAGACAATGTGAGTATCAATCATCAGTGCTGATTTCTTTTATCTACCTCCCTCCCACACCTCAGCCATCACCTCCTCAGTCCCAGGGAGGGAGTGGCAGACAGCTGGCAGTACCCACCTCGGAATAAGTCGTACCAGAGTCTCTTAGCCCTGAGGTGCTGCACTCCATTGAGGTGTTTCTTCCTGTTGTGAAGGTTGTCCTGAAAGGACCTGTCACAGTAGTCACAGAAATATCTTTTCCCCATCTCTCTTCTGGCAGAGCAGCATCAGCGTGGCCTGGGAACCATCAGATAGCTCCTCGGCACTCAGCCATGCCTGTCCCAGGGATGGAGGATCCAAGATTTACAGCTCCTGCTTCAAAAGGAGAGGAACTCAAATCACCTAGGGCTGGCAGAGAGAGAAAGAGGTGAGACCCAATAGTTTATGTTCTTGTCCATGAGAGCTTCGCAAGTCAGTGTCTGCTGAACATCCATGGGAGAGCAGGCTCGGATCTCCATATCTTACCTCCACTACCCAAAGCAACAACAGCTCTGCTGAAAGAATTCTCCTTCCCTGAGTGTGCTGGAGTTCAGAGCAAACAAAGCAGAGACCCCATGGAGCCAACAGCTCCCAGCCACCACCTGCACCAAGGGAAGATGCAGCAGAAACCATCCAATGTGCAAACAGAAGGTCCATGCCACAGCCTCCACTTGGGGCCCCAGGACTTTAACCCTGGACCACAGAGAACCTCCACAAGCTGCCATGCAAGAGGAAGGAAATTCCTCCATGTCCAGCTCTATGAGGTGAGGAAGAAACTCAGGAACTCCTGGAAGATGGAAAACCAGCTGATCTCACCTGTACTGCAAGTGGGAACCTGCACTACAAACACTGAGGCATGTAAAGTTTAGGGCACTTCACCCAGCCAGCTCTTCACCCTGTGGCACCAGGGACCCCTCTCCTCATCCTGCCCAGCAAGATGTGTCTGCTTCACCCAGCACAGGATCCAGAATTGCCTGG